TTCAATGCAGCAACACTTCAAGATATTGTAAGGATTGAATATTATAATTTCATATCCTTATGTAAAATAGTATTCAGTTTTATGAAAAGTACTTGATGAATAAATATAACTTTCATACATTCATTTATAATTTAGAAGTTTAACTATTAGAATTAATATAAAACTATAATCTTCAATCTTTACTGTAACTTTGGAGCTATGATGCAATGATTAGAGAGACTAACTTTAAGATAGTATCAAGACAATTTAGGTTCAAATCTTACTGGTCACAAATTAAAAACAGATTTTTAAAAAATTGAAACCGTGTCTGAAATGGCATTCAACATACGGGGAGCATGTTAGAATTAATATAAAACTATAATTCTCAATCCATGACATGTTAGAATTAATAGAATCAGTATAAAACTATAATTCTCAATTAATAACATGTTAGAATTAATATAAGATTATAATCCTCGATCTCACAATAACTTCAGAACTATGGTCTAATGGTTAAAGGGGGACAAACATTCAAGGATATCAAAGATGAATAAAGTTTTCCACCTAACAAATAACTTAATTAGGCATGTTATTATTTCGTGATGAGAATTTTATGTCTGTTTGAAACTCTTACATAGGCCAAAGGCCTATGATGTATATTTATAGATAGTCAATGTGAATAGGTTGAGTACCCAAGAGTCACCCCCACTTAATGGGGTGTTACACCATCATAATGGGGTGTGAATGGAGGGATAATGAGGGGGAGGCCAAAGGCCTCCCTCATCTCATAATACTCCCCCTTATCCATCCATTACCTTGGGTTTAGCTTATGAACACTTCAGAGTTCGTAAAGCTAATGGGGTGGATACTTCTGGATCCAGAGTAAACTTGTTTGCCTCGTTAAAACCTTAGCTGTGGAAAACCCAGTGGGAAAAAACCATCAGCCTAAGGAAAAAGAGTACAACCCATAGGTTACTCCCCCTGAACCATACAAGCTTCAGGCTTGTAGGTCTTTCAGATGTCTCATCCCTATTCCTTTTACAAGTTTTACAAAAGTACATCTAGGCAGAGCCTTAGTGAACAAGTCAGCTAAATTATTACATGATTGGATCTGCTGTACTTTAACTTGCTCCTCCTTTTGAAGATCATGTGTCCAGAAAAACTTGGGAGATATGTGCTTCGTCTTGTCACCCTTGATGAAGCCAGACTGAAGTTGAGCAACGCAGGCTGCATTGTCTTCAAATATAGTAGTTGGCTCAAGGTCACCAGTCTTCAGGCCGGTAGACACTAAGATGTGCTGAATGACAGAACGAAGCCAAACACATTCTTTGCTGGTTTCATGGATCGCGAGGAGTTCGGAATGGGTGGATGAGATTGCTACAGTGGTTTGCTTGACAGACCTCCAGGAGATGGCCGTACCACCGAATGTAAACACAAATCCGGTTTGTGATTTCTCGGTGTGGGGATCAGACCTGTAACCTGCATCTGAATAACCAATTAAGGTGGGAGACCCACCCTTCGGGAAATATAATCCCAGGTCTATAGACCCTTGGAGGTAGCGCAGAAGATGCTTAACTCCATTCCAGTGGCGCTTTGTGGGCGCTGCACTGTATCTGGCTAGTAGGTTAACTGAAAACGCTATATCGGGACGCGTACAGTTAGCCAGATATAATAGTGCTCCAATGGCACTGAGGTAAGGTACTTCAGGACCTAGCATTTCCTCCCCCTCTTCCAGCGGACGGAAGGGGTCGTTCTTTACATCCAATGATCGAACAACCATTGGTGTACTAAGAGGATGACATTTATCCATTCGGAAATTTTTAAGTAATTTCCGTGTATATGTGGATTGGTGTAACAGGATACCACCCTTAAGGTGTTCGATCTGTAAGCCAAGACAATACTTTGTTTTGCCTAGGTCTTTCATTTCAAAAGTATTCTTAAGGCTTTCAGATATCCCAGCGATCTCTGCAGGAGATCCAATAAGATTTAAGTCGTCGACATAGACGGCGACTATAATGAATCCTGTTCCCGATCTTTTTATAAAGATACACGGGCAGACTTTATCATTTGTGAATCCTTGCGTAGCAAGGAACTCACTTAGTCTGTTATATCACATTTTCCCCAATTGCTTAAGACCATATAATGATCTTTGAAGCCTAACAGAATAGACGTCCCGAGGTCTATCTGCTATCTCTGGTGGAATTTTATATCCTTCAGGGAGTTTCATATATATATCTTTATCTATATTGCCATATAGATATGCAGTCACAACGTCCATTAGCTGCATTTCTAGGCCTTCCAGAGATGAGAGGCTTATTAGGAATCGGAAGGTATTCCCATCCATAACCGGAGAATATGTTTTTTCATAGTCTATTCCCGGTCTTTGGGAAAAACCTTGTGCTACAAGCCGTGCTTTGTAGCGCACAACCTCGTTGTGTTCATTTCTTTTTCTGATGAAGACCCACTTATATCCCACAGTTATTACACCTTTAGGTGTTTGGACTACTGGTCCAAAGACTTCGCGTTTCAAGAGTGAGTCCAGCTCTACTCCTATTGCCTCGTTCCACTTTGGCCAATCGTCTCTGCGTTTACATTCCGCTAGAGACCGTGGTTCGATGTCATCGTCGTATTCAGTGACGTGAACGGCAATATCGAACGCAAAGTCGTCATCGACGACTGTGCTTTTTCTGTCCAGTACCTCCTCAGTACGTACAAAATTTAATGATGTTTCTCCTATTTTTTCCTCTTCAGGGGAATCTAGGAGGGGAGAGGAAGCTGGTCTGAGCTCAGTATCCTGTGTTGGGTTCATCTTTATTTCTCCAGGATTTTTTCTTTTACGAGGGACTTTGTCCTTCGAACCTGGTGGGCGTCCTCTTTTCAATTGAGGTACAGCCGTTTCTGCTGCCGGCGGATTGCATCCATCTTTGGGGATGTCAATCCTAGCTGGCGTGTTGACAGCAGGGACGTGTAATCTGACAATCTTCTGGTTATCAGTGAATTTATCCGGAAGTAAATGTACTGTATTCTGAATATGAAGAATCTTTAGGATCTCATCTTCACATTGAATAGTACGCGGATCATAATGAGACAAAGCTTGGTGTTCCAAGAAATGGTCTTAGAAGCGTCAGGCTTCCTGGACTGTGTGCCAAGTTTAGGAAATGAATCCTCAACAAATTCACAATCATCAAGACGTGCTTTAAATGCGTCACCCGTCTGGGGTTCAAGGTATCTTATTATAGAGGGCGAATCAAACCCTATATAGATACCCAAACGACGTTGTGGACCCATTTTGGTCCGTTGTGGAGGAGCAATTGGGACGTAAACTGCACAACCAAACACTCTCAAATGTGAGATATTCGAAGGTGCACCATAAGCAAGCTGCATTGGTGACAAAATATGGCCCCCAGAGGGTCGTATTCTGATAAGCGAAGCGGCATGCAATATGGCATGACCCCAAGCCTCAACAGGCAACTGTCATTGCATCAACAATGGACGAGCAATCAATTGCAATCTCTTAATTAGAGATTCTGCTAACCCGTTCTGGGTGTGAACATGTGCTACAGGATGTTCAACTTCGATGCCAGTTGCTAGGCAATAGTCTTGAAAGACTTGTGAAGTGAATTCTCCCGCATTATCAAGACGTAATTTCTTGATGTGATTATCGGGGAAATGAGCCCACAACTTAATAATTTGTGCCAATAGCTTTGAAAAAGCTAAGTTGCGGGTGGACAAATGGCACACGTAAGACCACTTGGTTGATGCACACGTAAGACCACTTGCGGGGTGAATAGGCCCACAAATATCTCCATGTATTCTCTCCAAGAAGCTAGGAGACTCTAATCCCACTTTCAGAAGGGAAGGTCTCGTGATCAGTTTACCTTGAAAACAAGATAGACATGAGTAATCACTCTTCTGAAGAATCTTCAGGTTCTTCAGGTTGTGTCCACTTGATTGGCTCATGATGCGGTGCATCATTGCTGATCCTGGGTGACCCAGTCTGTTATGCCAAAGTTTAAATTTCGGCAAAGAATGGCACTTCTGGTGCACAATCATGTTAGCTTCTACTGGTTGAATATATGTATGATAGAGACCCGACGGGAGTCCCTTGAATCGTTCTAAGATAGTTTTTGAACCATCTTTTTGACGAGTTACATACAAATACTCATCCTCATTTATTTCATTGGTTTCTAAGTGATATCCGTTTAAACGAATATCCTTGAAACTTATGAGGTTTCTATTAGATTTCGGAGAGAATAATGCATCTTTTATTATTAGTCTCGTTTTATTTGGGAGCAATATCATTGCTTCACCAAATCCTTCTATTATGTTAGATAGTCCCGAAATCGTAATTACGGGATCGTCATAATCATATAAGCTATTGAAATAGCTTCTTTCGCGAAGGATTGTGTGCGTCGAGGCACTGTCCACAAGGCACTCACACTTCATCTATAACATGAATGCAATATTTTAATCTAAAGAAAATAACTATCTTTATTGAAAAGTAAATTGCATTACATGGAAAGTAAAGAACTAAAGATGAAAGTACTATGAGAATTTAAATGCATATAAAGATAACATGGATCTAGTCGAGAAGATCATCCATTTCGAAGTCATCAGCAGTGAACTGAGTAGACGGCTGCTTTTCCACCAGATTTGTTTCAAAAGGAGACTTCGGGCTCGCTAGATACAAATCTTGGAGGTGTCGCGGAGTGCGACAGTTTCTGGACCAATGTCCAGTCATGCCACATCTGTGGCATTTGTCCTCCCAAGTGTTCTTGGGAATGGACGACAGCTCAGTGGTCTTCTTCTTCCACTTCTTCTTTCCCTCACTATTGCTGCTCTGGGGCGGGTTGTTTTTCTGGGGTGGACATCTGGCCTGCCACTTAGGGGCTTTCCCCTTGTTGAATTTACCCTTATGCTTTTTCTTCTGCTTCTGGGAAGAAAACATGTGAGCTTCGGGTAGAGGAGCTGAGCCTGTAGGGCGTAGGTTACCAAAAGCAATTCTCTGTTTTGCTCCGCCATCAGAAGGGTGGAGTGCAATTCAGAATTTTTTTTTTGAACTTTCGTTCGCGGTACTGTTGCATGAGGATTGCATCCTTCTCGTGGAAGGATATGTAAGTCTTCTCCAACATGCGTTCCTCCGAAACTTCTTCACCACAAAACTTCAGGCGTGAGGTGATATTATGAAGTGCTGAGTTATACTCAGCTACAGACTTAAAGTCCTGAAGTCGGAGGTTTTCCCACTCATAATGTGCACGTGGGAGGATTACATCTTTCTGATGTTTGTATCGGTCCTCAAGTGCAGTCCACAATTCCTTTGGGTCCTCTACAGTCAGGTATTCGGCCTTCAGGGTCCGATCAATATGTCTCCTGATGTAGATAATGGCTTTCGCCTTATCTATATCAGAGACGATCACTGTAGTAGCAACCTCAGCATTATTTACAGCATTACCCGTAACAGTGACCTGAGCCGATGGAGCAGGAGTTGAAATTGTGGCTAATAAGCCCTGGGCACGTAAGTGGAACTTCAGGTCCACATGCCAACTCAAATAATTCTTGCCAGCAGCGTCAAGGACTTCGAAATCAACGCTCGCTATTTTAGCAATTTTATCTATGCATTTGAAAGACATGAATTAATAATAAGGAATTAAAAATTCATGCAATAAACATGTTGCGTGGATCAGCCCGTCACCAAAAAAATAAAAAGTGTCCAAAGTCCGATTATACAGTCCAAAGATAACAAAAAACATAAAATTAAAATACAATTTGGAAAACCCTAGGGGCTCCCTGCATTTTGCAAAAATGCCTTTGTCTTCAATGGAATACACCAGTCTTTGACTTTTTACAATTATATCCTCACTACAATTTCTCTCTCAGAAGGAAAAGAAAATGCAAGGAATTTAAATTTGGTGACAAACAGGCTGATCCAAAAACCACAACATTATTTATTTAAACATCCACGCAATTTAATAATAATATATGCAACAGGCATAACAAATTTGGACAGTAAACCCTTGCTTTCTTTGAATTTTTTTTAAAACTTCTTGTTGTTTCTATGCGATACTGCCTACTTAATACTTTTAATATCATGTCAACATGAGCACATAAACATTTCTGTTTTTATTTTATTTTTTTTGAATAGCAATTAACTAATAGTATTAATTACTAGTTATGCCAACAAATAATGAAAGCAATTAGATTAGATGAACAACAATAAAATTGCTTAATAAACTGTAAAATTCCCGAGTGAACAGTAACCCTCGGTGAACAGTAACAATTTTTTTTTATTTTTTATTTAATTTTCCAGTTGTCATATATTATTCTACGGATTATAGTAATTACCTCTAGATCAAAGATCTAGGGACGATCGATACTAAAGATCCGTAGAACGCTGCCTCCTTGCGATGATCCGTCGAACGCTCCCGCTGCAACGAACCAGATCTCAATGCGCAAAAGAGGAAGGAAATATATATATATTTTTTATGGCTCAGGGATTCAAGAACACTTCGTGCTGATAACGTGTTTGAAACTCTTACATAGGCCAAAGGCCTATGATGTATATTTATAGATAGTCAATGTGAATAGGTTGAGTACCCAAGAGTCACCACCACTTAATGGGGTGTTACACCATCATAATGGGGTGTGAATGGAGGGATAATGAGGGGGAGGCCAAAGGCCTCCCTCATCTCATAATAATGTCCATGTAAATATGACGGTGAACTTATAAAGATCGAAAGACGTAGCTGTAACGCACGTGCATCACATTACGGGGATGTTGAAGTCACAACCACCCTATTCAGTGATCCCAATATTTTGGGAAAGGAAAGGGGCACATGCTCTTCTTCAAGTCTCCATCACTTTTTTCGTGGGGTGGAGAAGAACTTTATTAGCTAAGTTGGTGCTATTAATATTGATTTAGTCTCCTTAAATCTATCTAATCCCTTTTTAATATAGTAATCAATATGTTAAATAATCTTAATTAGCTGCAGAAAGCCGTACTTCATGTTCTTGTACGCTTGACGGTAATGGCCAATTTGGCAATTTGCCTCGGTGCTCGGCAATTTCACGTGACCCTGTGTGTCCCTTAGCGAGTAGAATCATCCGGATCCGGTATCTTTAGTGATAAGAAATTCTATAAACTTATGATTTCATTTTTCTTGCATTAATATTTAGAAAATTTCATCAATGTGTAACTCATAATGAAAAGGGATTCTCTTGATCTACATCATAAGTTTCTGGCATTTTTATTAATGATTAAGCATGTAACGAATTCGAAGCAAATGAAAACCCTCGAAACAAGTCAACTCTTATTTAAATTAACCTATAGTCTTAGTAAATTTTTAATCATTCTAAACAAGGGTTTTTTAAATATTGGTCCTTTACATCATCAATATTTTAGTATTAGTCCTTCAAATCTTTATATTTTGATACTAGTTCCCTAAATTGTGTTAATAGATTCTTGATATTAGTCCATGTGATTAGGGAATTTGGATCCTCTCCACTACAAAAAAGTAGTGGAGAGACGACTACTTTTAATATCAACCGTTGATTATTTAATAGGTGGTTATGATACAATCTAAATCTAACACTCATCGTACTCCGGCTGTGCATTGCACTAATTTTTAATTTACACCCAAAAAATTTACAATCACCAACTAGATAATTAATGATTGTGATTATGTAGTGATCCACAACTACTTTTTTTTGGGTAACGGAGAGGATCCGAATCCATGATTAGGTGGGGTTATTAATGAAAGTAAACATTCCGTTAAGTTTAACTTTTTACTAGAAAAGGCAGTTATACCCCTCAGGCCCATTACCCAAATCCACTTTCCCATTAAACTTAATCTCAATAGGATTCTTAAACCTGAACCTGTTTCATCCCTCTCTTCTCCAATGGTCAAATGAATCCAGTTCTCTGCTTTTTCTAATGATCAAAGTACTCCAAGCCTCAACCCACATTTCATTTCTCCAAAAAAGGCAGTTATACCCCTCAGACCCATTACCCAAATCTACTTTCCCATTAAACTTAATCTCAATAGGATTCTTAAACCTGAACCTGTTTCATCCCTCTCTTCTCCAATGGTCAAATGAATCCAGTTCTCTGCTTTTTCTAATGATCAAAGTACTCCAAGCTAAGCCTCAACCCACATTTCATTTCTCCATAAAAGTCAGTTATACCCCTCAAACCCATTACCCAAATCTACTTTCCTATTAAACTTGATCTCAATAAGATTCTTAAACCTAAACCTGTTTCATCCCTCTATTCTCTTCTCTAACGATCTCCTCTTCTTCAAATCCGCTCTCCTTTATCCGACCTCCTCTCTTTCCTAGTTATGATTAGTCTTAACCTAGCCATGGTTGAAGGTTTTAAAAAGAAATAGTAACAAAGACTAATATTAACATAATAATGTCGTTTGGGGGTCTAATATCAAACCGTGAATATTGAGGGGACTAATATCAAAATAGTGATGATTTAAGGGAGTCGTATAGGGATACAATGGAGTCAAGTAGCTTCCATAGTTCCTTTCATCCCCAACAAATTATCCGCTGTAATTTTGGGTTACCAATTACGTAACTAATTTTACAACAGCATGCTCGTGATTCTCGGGAGGCAGCTGATAAACATCTTCCAAATTAACATCTTTGTACTCTTCTTTTCTTCACAGCCACTAGATTTAATTATCGTGCGTACACCATAAAAAGTCGTCTCACTATCACTAAAAATATCTCCCAGTCCACCCTATATAAATGTGAACCACTCGCTTACCTTCTCCTTCTCCTAAAAAAAAAAAAATCAAACCAAGAAAAAAGAAAAAAAGAAAAAAAAGAATAATGTTGCTGAGGAGCTCTTCAACCCCGATCCTCGGCACTCTCCTCTCTTCATCATCCTCAAACGAAAGCCCTAATCATCATCATCACGGCCCTTTAGACAAAGCCACATCTCTCCCTTCTTCTTCATTCTCTCACCCACCCAAGCCCTCATTCTCTTTCCATTCCTCTCCAAATCAAGACCCATCAACCCTCGGATTCCGTCGAGCTCAATCCGATGGAAACCTCCACTCCCTCCTCTCCTCAGATCACAAATCCAACCCAGCTCTCGACACCATCCCTTCGTTTTCAATGTACAGCTCAATAGGGCAAGAAGAATGTTGCGATGAGGAGGAGGAAGAAGAAGATCAATTTGATGAAGAGGGGGCCAGTGCGGGCTTTAGTTTCGTGGGTCAGAGTCAAAATTTGAACTTGGTTGGGGATTCGAGGGATAATGTGGGTTCGTCGTCGGCGCTTCCTCTGTTTCTCGCTCGGGGACTTGGGATCGATCGGCTCGGATCGGGGCTTTTGAGTGCTGGAGGAGGAGGAGGAGGGAGAGGCAATGGGAGTGTTAGTAATGGTTATGGAGGAGGGGGATCTGATATAGAGGTGTATTATAAGAGGATGGTTGATGAGAACCCGAGTAATGCTCTGTTTTTGAGCAATTACGCCCAATTTCTCTACCAGGTAAACTATTGCTGTTCATTTTCATGCTATTCAATAATTTTGATATTGGCTTTTGAGTGCTGGAGGAGGAGGAGGAGGGAGAGGCAATGGGAGTGTTAGTAATGGTTATGGAGGAGGGGGATCTGATATAGAGGTGTATTATAAGAGGATGGTTGATGAGAACCCGAGTAATGCTCTGTTTTTGAGCAATTACGCCCAATTTCTCTACCAGGTAAACTATTGCTGTTCATTTTCATGCTATTCAATAATTTTGATATTAGTTAGTGTTACATCTAAATCATTTTTTTTAACCAATTTGTTGAATTTGCTCAATGTTGATAATTGGTTGTGATCATAAATGTCTATCTTTATGTTTCGGTTTGTTTAGATTCATTGAAAGCTATTATTATTAGTACACGGTTCTTACTAAATTTGTGTATCTATGGGGTATTTTTGAGCGCTTTTAATACACCAATAAGCAATAGAAAAATTTGCTTATGCTTTTTCACTGTCTTATTGTAATTTAAGATGCATATACACCCTGTGAGTACATAATTGCCTTTAATTCTGCTTAAAACTTAACATGAAAAAGGAACTAGTATTCAAGAGGAGCTCATTAGAGGTAGGGTTGCTGGTAGAGATATTTTCTTGTAACATGGAAGCTCACAGAGTACAGAAAAAATGAAAGAAAAAGATAGAAAAGCATGTGATTATAAGTTTTCTAGATAAATTTTTTTGATGTAATTCTGCATGTAAAAGCTTTGAGGATGAGTAAAATAGAACATTGAATTTTCAGAAATTCAATTCATAGCAAAAAATGCAATATTAAGGTGATGAATTAATGATAATTCTAGCTTATCTTGTTCAGTAAGGATATATCTGTGCATATTTGGTTTTTGCTTCTCCCATCTAATATACATATATTTTTAATTTTCAGACTAAGGGAGATGCACAAAGAGCTGAAGAGTACTATTCTCGTGCCATTCTTGCAGAGCCAGGAGACGGTGAAATCTTATCCCAATATGCAAAACTAGTATGGGAGCTTCATCGTGATATAGAACGTGCTTCTAGCTATTTTGAGCAGGCAGTTCGAGCTAGTCCTAGTGACAGGTTTGCATCCTCAAAACTGAATTCTGTATACTCTTAAATTACAACAACTTATACGGAACCCTTGAATGCTTTACAACTATTTCTGGTAATGTCACTGATCAAACTTTCCTATCAGCAGCCATGTTCTTGGAGCCTATGCTAGTTTCTTATGGGAAACAGAGGATAATGGTGGAGATGGAGAAGATGTTGATTCTCAAGAATACTTGGGAGCTCCAGTACTTCGTGAAGTCTTGGCTTAAATATTGGGATCCCAAATATGAACATCAGCTAACATGTTGGTTATGTTTTTGCAACTAAGAGAAATCTTGAAGAGGATTTTCAAGCGGCAGCAGAAGCTTCTACGCTAAGTGGAAATTAAGGAAGTATGTCAGGATTTTGATGCAGGGTTACGTAAATGTGTATTTTTACTTATAATAAATAATCAGGCTAGCCTTATGTATTCGAAGTAGTAAACGCAGAAGCAAAGAAGTCCCTGCAAGTTTTCCTTGCTCAAGCTTTTCATGTTTGCAAACTATGTTGTTGTTTGGTTTGGTGTAGCTTATGCCTACATTATAGCTCCAAATCCCTGCAATGTCTATGATTCAGCAAAATCTCCAACTCCAAATCATGCAGCAGCAGCTATTTACATAACGTAAAATGGCTTCACAATATATTCAACGATACTAACTCAAAATCTGAATGCTGCTACCAGTGATGTAGATAATTGCATAGATAAGCAGAACAAACTGATGACTTTACGGATAAGGGTCTGTTCGTTTGCCTTAAAAAAATGGGAAATCAAAGAAATAGAAAACTATTTCTAAGAAGAATTGTTTTGGGAGTGTTTGGTTTGCTAAAAAAAAGGAAATCAAAGAAATGAAGATAAGATGAGATGAGTTGTCATCTTATTATAGGATGATGCGAGTGTTTTTTTAAGAAAACTTGTTTTGAGATTTCTTGGTTGGCGAAAAAAAATAAGGAAATGAATTATAAGAAACCTATTTCTTGTAATATGTTGTTTTCTTTTGTTTGGTTATTTCTTAAAAATAAGGAAATAGATGAGATGAGATGAGTTGTCATTATATTATTGGATGATGTGACCAACACTTAAGGAAATTGTTTTCCTAGCTTTTTGAGAGGAAAACAAAGAAATGAAATGTTAATGAGATGAGATGAGTTGTCACAATCTTATTGGATGATGTGAGTGATTTTTAAATATGAGATGAGATGAGTTGGGTGATGTTGTGGATGAAAATAATATTTTATCAACACTTAAGGAAATTGTTTTCCTAGATTTTTGAGAGGAAAACAAAGAAATGAAATGTTAATGAGATGAGATGAGTTGTCACAATCTTATTGGATGATGTGAGTGATTTTTAAATATGAGATGAGATGAGTTGGGTGATGTTGTGGATGAAAATAATATTTTATTAGATGTGGTGGATGTGATGGATGAGTTGTTGGATGAAAATAATATTTTATTAGATGTGGTGAATGAGTTGTTGGATAAAAATAATATTTTATTAGATGTTGTGGGTGAGTTTTAGGGATGGAAATGTGTGAAATTGTACTTTTTGAGATTTCTTGGTTTTCTTTTTTTTTTTTTTTGTTTTTTAGGAAATAACCGAACAGACCCTAAAGGGAAAAGAGCGTAAAAAAGATTGCATCGTTCGGACCCTTTCGACATATGCTATTGAAAAGTTGCCCGGTTAATAATACATCGAATTTCTAAAATTTATAGTATTATCTGCTTTCAATGTGATTATATGAAGGCCGTATTTCATTTTTAAATGGTTCAAGGGTTTATCAATAGTTCTATCTTTTATGTCAAAGGATGTTTTATTGACCAGAAAATCTAGAAGCTAATGAAGACTTGGTCGTTCTCCGAATTCAATAAGAAAGATATGGAAACTATATTCTCGAACTTTAAATTCCTAGAGGCTACTCAAATATGATTATTTAAACTATTCCAATAATATATATGTAGTATATAAGGTCCTCAAAATAATTCAGTTTCCATTACAGTAGTGGAGAGAGATGGCCACATCCACTACTAAACCACTTTCAACAAATAACAAAAAGAATAAAGAAGATTTTACTACTAATTCAAGCATCCCCATCTTAATCTTGCAACGTAATCGCAGCATCAAGTGCATCACTGTCCCATAACAACAAGGATTGATGTATCAGGCAAAACAAGGAGAATAATATTAGTTGCAGTGCTCTCGAAAAGGAAGCCAAATGTTCAATCAGTGCAATGACTTGGATACCTTAAAAATCCATAACCAGCTATATTTGTATTCTCCACATTCTTAGTCCCACATCGGTGGCATAACAGAACTGAAGATTTTCAGACCTGTATAAAACAGGGCTTGGGTGCATCTCTGATCCATACTTACCTGGACGGGGTCTTTGGGTGATCATGGAGGCCCAGGCCTAGGTCAGCGGCCTTCATTGCACTTAGTCGGTGCGCTGGCCTACCATCTCCCCAAGTGGGAGAGTGGACGTCATTATTTGTTGCTGAGGGGGTACGCGCACGCGCGGCCCCCGCCCAAGTCTGAATTCTAAAATATTTTTATTTTAAATTGGGTAGCCACGTGCGCATTTGTGAGGCCTCTTTCTGGGCCCAATTTACTAATAACCAGAGCCCAATTTCTGGCCCCTTGTGCTGGACCCAAATCTAATTCGGGCTGATTGAATAGGGTGCTTGGAAAAAGCTTTATTTTACTTCGTTCCGGCTTTTGTAATCGAAATGTTGAAGGATCTGGAATTGAAATTTGGTAAATTTTATGAAATACCCCCATTAACTTTGCCAGGTTTAGAGATAATCTCTCTTAACTACTTTAATTTCAATAAACTCCCGTTAACTTTGAGGGGTTTTGCACGTAAGCCTTTTGAACTTGTATTCCGCTAAACCCCTAGACTATTTCATTTTAACCGCCCAAAAGAACACTATCAAGTTAACGTGTCAAGTGGCTGACTCATGAAGGAGACTATGAACAAACCCTAGAAAATTTACCCTTTAATCTTATTTTATTATTTCCATTAACTTTTTTTAATGCCAGGGGGGTATTTTAGCCTTCTTTGCCATGTCTTTGACTCATGACTAGCTAGACTTGACAGTGTAACTTTTAGAGTTAAAAGTTAAAAATCTTAAAAGGAATTTAGTGAAATAAAACAAGTTTAGTGTGACTAGGCGCAAAACCCCTAAAATGTTAAAGGGGGAATTTGTGAAATTGAAATAGTTTAAGAGGGAATAGATCTAAAACGGCTAATTTTTTTTCATTTTTCTTTTCTTTTTTCCTTTTTTTTAGTGGGGCTGGCGGTGGGGTTGGGATTGTAAAATTAACCTTTTTAATTATGTGTTTGGTTTGTAGGAGTATAGATTTGAAAGTTGGGTTTCACGAAGGAACACAAAATTATATTTGTTTGTGAAGAAAGTGTTTAAGTTAGGAAGTGATGTATGGTTTCCACTGATAATTGACTTTGCATTTAAATTAGTGTATGATAATATTATGTAATCATACATCATAAAAATAAATAAAAAATAAAGAAATGTTTTTAAGAAATCTCCCCAAATTTCTACTTTTGAGAGGCCATTTCTCATACCCAATAAAAGCTGATGTGACAGCTTTTTCAAAATGAAAATCAGCCAAACAGATCATTATTGAGCGGATTTTTTATTAAAAAAATGTTTTCTGGGCCGTGTGTTTTAGGCCTAGTCCAAATAGCAAACAAATAGCTCCGCAAATTGAAAGGGTACAGTGACCGAGAATTTTACATGACCATAAAATTGTGTCATTTCTAATTATGATTTCTGCACTAGTTCGTCTCTCTCTCCCCTTCCCAATTTTTATCTCCAATTTAACTTTGCCCCTAAAAATTCGAAAATGTCAAGTTAGATTTTAAATAAGGGTTCTTACATCAAAACTACTTTTACTTTTACCTTAATTGATATTTACCATCTTTAAATTTTTTTATGTAAATCACATTTACTTGTGAACATGTTTGCAATATCACATCTTTTTTACTGTTCACCCACAAAAAATCAAATATTCTCATTTTACCCTCATCTTCTTCCTTTCAACCCTTAACCCTAATCTTAGTCTCCTCCATCCTTCTCTTCTCAAAACCCTAACTCTAACTCATGGCCACCACCTCTCTCAAAACACTAACCCTAACTCATGGCTGTCACCTTCCCCAAACCTAACCCTAATTCTAGTTCCCACTTGGGAAGGAATGGGAGAGTGGGAGGTTAGAGAGAAAGAGAGAGGACCTTAATAAAAGTATCTTCTTAAAAGTAAAATCAGTTTCAATGAACATGTCCAAAAATTTTAACCAAATACTATTATCAGCTGTTTATTGAAAAAATAAGCACCTTAATAAAAACAATACTAAACTGGCCTTGCAAGGTTGCCCACTTAATAATACATCTAATTTCTTAAATCAATAATATTATATACTTTTAATGTGATTATATGAAGACTAATTTTGGTTATTGAACGGTCCAATGGTTTATCAATAGTTCTATCTTTTAATGTCAAATGATGTTTTTAGTGAACAGAAAATCTAGAAGCCAATGAGGGTAGTTCTCGAATTCAATAACAAAGATACGTGTGATCAGGAACTATATTCTTGGAATCTAAATTCTGAGAGGCCACTTCAAATATGATATTTAAACTATTCCAAAAGAAAAAACATATATATAGATAAGGTTCTCGAAATAATTTAGTTTCCATAACAGTATCGAAGAGCCGTAGCCACATCAACTTCCAAACAGCTATCAAGAAATAACATAAAGAAGGGAAGGTAACTAATTCAAGCAACACCATCTTCATCTGGCAACGTAATTGGAGCATCAAGAGCATCAATGTACCCCAATAACACATCATTGTAATCAAGCTAACTCGTCACGCAGCTCGATCACTTAAAGAATCGGGAAGCCCAGCAAGCCATTTATGCATCGATAGATGTCGTCATCCAAATCCAGGACCCTCACCATCTCATCAAGCTTGGCCTCCATTCCATCACGATGCACGCAATGCTGTCGACATCAACGGACTGCTTCAATTCATCAAACGGGAGACTTCGTTGGATGATGGAAATGATTAAAGAGGACCAGAGATTAGACACACGCTTGAATCTGGCTTGGGGTTTTAGTGGGAGATGATCAAGTATCCCCTTCACAATCTCAATAAAAGAGGAGATGAACCATAATAGAACGGAATGCAATAGTAATATTCATGTAGCCGATCCCACACATTTAGTATAAACACTTTGTGCTAGAGTAGTATTACATGCCGTTAAACATCCAATACATTTTTTATTGAATATTAATAAAGTTTTATTGTTGCACATATTGTTTGTGTATCTTTTATATAATTTGTATATTATCATTAGAAATTATTTTGTTAGATTATGCATTGCGATGGTCACTTGCTTGGAGATATAATCTAATTTAAATGTTTCTTAAATTAGTATTTAACCTATAACTAGTAAATGATAGTTTTGTTAAAACATGTTATTATGTATGACAATGACACGTGAGAT